CTGCTACGGTGGCTTAACAGGTGGGAAAGTTTGTCTTTCACGCTAGGAAGACTGGGAATGGAGAGAGCTGAGAGCTGACGTGGACACCCAGACCGCCAGGAACGCGGGCTCATTATGCGTGTGCACGGACTGTAAGCCCGGCCTGGGCGCTTCGTCCACAGCTTGACTCTCATCGCCTTCTGCCCTGTGTGCATGTGCAGCCACACAGAGGGAGAGAGGTCAGGCTTTTTTTTTTAAACATGACCTCTTGTTTTCTTGTGTGAGTAATGTTAAATGATAAATTTTTAAAGCATAAAACCATGATTCTTTGGCAGCTATAAAATAAACATGTGTCAAAGATTGGATTTCTTTCTTTTATTAATACAGAAATCAGCAAGATGATAAACCAGTTCAAAGGAGAATTTACAACCATGTAGGAACAAGCAACCACACACATGCACACACGTACACACATGAACATGTACACACACACACACACACACACACGCGTGCACTCGCACACGTGCAGGCAGGGGTGCTGAAAGGAGTGTCCGGAGCAGCAGTGCCACAGCTCCTCAGATGGGTTTATCTGCATTTCCGTGAACCTCGCTGTGGGCGCCCTACAACGTACAAAATTGTAAAATAGGCCGGCGCTGCGGCTCACTAGGCTAATCCTCCGCCTGCGGCGCCGGCACACCGGGTTCTAGTCCCGGTCGGGGCGCCGGATTCTGTCCCGGTTGCCCCTCTTCCAGGCCAGCTCTCTGCTGTGGCCCGGGAGTGCAGTGGAGGATGGCCCAAGTGCTTGGGCCCTGCACCCCATGGGAGACCAGGAAAAGCACCTGGCTCCTGGCTCCTGCCATCGGATCAGCGCGGTGCGCCGGCCGCAGCGCGCTGGCCGCGGCGGCCATTGGAGGGTGAACCAACGGCAAAGGAAGACCTTTCTCTCTGTCTCTCTCTCTCACTGTCCACTCTGCCTGTCAAAAAAAATAAATAAAAAATAAATAAAAAAAAATTGTAAAATAACTATTTTTTACCCATTGCAAAGTCTTTCATGGTGTTTCCTGTCGGAAGGGGTCACCCCCCTGCATCTCCTGGACCAGAACGCTGTCACTTAGCCACTTCTGTCGCCAGGGAGGATGGGAAACGAAGCGTGTGTAGCCAGTTTCTGTTGGGCAGCTCCGCCTAACCTACACAGCCACAGGACGAGTTGGAGGTGCCGGGTTAGGGGGTGATTTTCAGTGTCTGTGAGTGGGAGGGGCCGGAGTGCACCTCTGTCAGTTTTGATTGCTCAGTGTCACTCCCTGTTCCGGTGGTGGTGCCTCAACGATCCTTTGGGAGGTCGCCTCTCGCCCCTCTCCAAACTCAGCTCCAAAGATGGACCCTCAGGGCGGACACTGTGGTGTAGCGGGTAAAGCCACCGTCTGCAGTGCCAGCATCCCACATGGACGCCGGTTCGAGTCCCTGCTGCTCCACTTCCCATCCAGCTCTCTGCTATGGCGTGGGAAAGCGGATGACCCAAGCCCCTGGGCCCCTGCACCCGCGTGGGAAACCTAGAAGAAGCTTCAGGCTCCTGGCTTTGGATTGGTACTGCCATTGTGGCCAACTGGGGAGTGAACCAGCGGACGGAAGACTTCTCTCTCTACCTCTCCTTCTCTCTCTTTTTAACTCTGACTTTCAAATAAATAAATAAATCTTCAAAGATGGACCCTTGACCCAGGGCTCCCTTAGCTATGGTGGCTGACTTTCAGCAGAACAAGACTGTAACTGTCAGGGGCCGGTGCTGTGGTGCAGTGGGTAAAGCTGCCGCCTTCAGTGCCGGCTTCCTATATATGCGCCGATTAAAATCCTGGCTGCTCCACTTCCCATCCAGCCTCTGCTATGGCCTAGGAAAACAGTAGAAAATGGCCCAAATGCTTGGGCCCCTGGACCCATGTGGGAGACCTGGAAGAAGCTCCTGGCTCCTGGCTTCAGATTGGTGCAGCTCTGGCTGTTGTGGCCATCTGGGGAGTGAACCAGTGGATGGAAGACGGCTCTCCCTCTCTGTCTCCGCCCCTCTGTAATGGTCTTTCAAATAAATAAATAAATAAATAAATATTAAACAACAATGGTGATACCCAGGTGACACCATCAAGTCACTGGGAACCTGGAGGGTACAGGTGGATCCCTGCATCCTTTGCAGAAGCCCCACGGCCTCTGGGCGCTTGGCTTCCTGGTGAGAAGCCCCTGAGCTCTTCACCTCGGGTCACTCCCCGTCAGCAGGTGCAGCAGGTGCGGGTCACATCAGGCAGACTGAACCCGGAAAGTAGAACCCCCTGCTGGCCGCCGAGGAGCACTGCATGGACAATAAAAATGGAAAGCTAAGCAGAGGTGGTGAGGGAAGACCGAGATTAGCAACTGCAGGACCCTGCCTCCACCCCCAGGCAGCAAACTCAATCCAGGGCCCGGTATCCCCACCCAAGACCCAGAGATCCAGTTACTCAGAGGAGCTGCTTAGGGTGGGTGGGGCCGGGGCGGGGGCCTGGGTGTTTGGGAGAGCTGCCTCCCATCAGCTGAGCCCCACTGGAAGCCGCAGCATACGGAAGCCCGAGTCTACAGGGGTCAGCGCCTCCCTCTGTAGGAAGTGGAGCAGGAGACGGGTGAGGAACGAAACTGAAGACATCGGTCTCTGATACCAGCAAGGCTGGCCCATGTCCATGTTCCCCCACCTCTAAGATGCCATCGCTGGTAACACGCGCTTCCATTTTACACCCCCAAGACAGCAGAACGCTGCCGACAAAACTGTGGCCCGGCCGGCGCCGCGGCTCACTAGGCTAATCCTCCGCTTTGCGGCGCCGGCACACCGGGTTCTAGTCCCGGTCGGGGCGCCGGATTCTGTCCCGGTTGCCCCTCTTCCAGGCCAGCTCTCTGCTGTGGCCAGGGAGTGCAGTGGAGGATGGCCCAAGTGCTTGGGCCCTGCACCCCATGAGAGACCAGGATAAGTACCTGGCTCCTGGCTCCTGCCATCGGATTGGCGCGGTGCGCTGGTTGCAACGGCAAAAGGAAGACCTTTCTCTCTGTCTCTGTCTCTCACTGTCCACTCTGCCTGTCAAACAAACAAACAAACAAACAAAACTGTGGCCCAACGCCAAGACGCCACCGTCCCAGCACCTGGACGGACGATTGTTGGCATGTGAAAAGGCGCCTCTGGAGATGGGCGAGACACTGTTTGCTACTCCTGTGAGCTCCACGCATTTCCTCCTTTGGGCCTTGACGTTTCCTCCTGGGAATCAGGAACAGGAAACTACTTCACCGGGTGTTTCTACGGACCGTCAAACTGAGTGAGGGCAGGGACCTTGTTAGAGAGAGCGAGGACTGTGCCTCTGACTCCTGGCCATCCCCAGGGCCCAGCAACGCCTCGGTGCACCGTGGGAACTTAGGAAGATTTCTGGGATGAACCCACCTAGCCCCTGCACCCCCAGCAGGGCACGGTTCCGGGCACGTAGTGGGGACGGGTGTCAGTAAGTGGAGCTATTATTATTGGAGTTAAACATGCTTTGGTGGGAACAAGCTCTTCTCTTCCTCCAATGTCACCTAGAATTGTGTGTGTGTGTTGGGAGGGGGGCTCCCCTTAATTTTTAAAAAAGATTTATTTATTTATTTATTTATTTAATTTGAAAGTCAGAGTTACACAGAGAAGAGAGGCAGAGAGAGAGAGAGTCTTCCATCCACTGGTTCACTCCCCAGTTGGTCGCAACGGCCAGAGCTGTGCCGATCCGAAGCCAGGAGCCAGGAGCTTCTTCCAGGTCTCCCACGCGGGTGCAGGGGCCCAAGGACTTGAGCCATCTTCTGCTGCTTTCCCAGGCCATAGCAGAGAGCTGGATTGGAAGTGGAGCAGCCAGGACTAGAACTGGCATCCATATGGGATGTGGCGCGTCAGGAGAGGGTGTTAACCCGCTGCACCACAGCACCGGCATCAGCAGGGAGCTGGACAGGAAGTGGAGCCGCCAGGACCCCAACAGGTGCTCGCATGGGATGTGGGCACTGCATGCAGCGGCTTAGCCTGCTGTGCCCGGATCAGGCCCCAGGGTCTTCTTTTTTTTTTTTTACAGGTAGAGTTAGACAGTGAGAGAGAGACAGATAGAAAGGTCTTCCTTCCATTGGTTCACTCCTCAAATGGCAGCTACGCGGCACTGCGCAGATCCGAATCCAGGAGCCAGGTGCTTCCTCCTGGTCTCCGACGCAGGAGCAGGAGCTCAGGCACTTGGGCCATCCTCCACTGCACTCCCGGGCCACAGCAGAGAGCTGGACTGGAAGACGGGCAACCGCGACTGAATCCGGCGCCCAAATGGGATGCTGGCGCCGCAGGCGGAGGATTAACCTGCTGTGCCATGGCGCCGGCCGGGGGTCTCCTCTTAATTCAAAAAAGGCGTCAGAGTGGACACGCTGGACGAGTCTCCGGTAGAAAAGGCTGCGCTAGGGGGCTTAGTGCACACACAGACCGAGCTGTGAACAGAAAATTAAAGGGCGGTGCTGGAGCAGGGGGCGCGGGGGACTCAGCGCGGCTCAGCGGCCCTCGGCCCATTTCACAGTCGCCACTGGCTAGTGATTGGAAGGATCCTCCCCAAACGCACAAGTGCACAGAAGCAAGGAGTCCCGAGACGGGAGAGACGGAGCCCAGCTCCAGGAGGCAAGACGGTGGCGAGGAAAAACCCGGTTTACAGAGCACCGGGCAATGGCGCTGAAGAGAAACCAAGCGCCTCAATCATCTGCAAGCCCCGGGGAGTGACTGATCCAGCAGGGCGGAGGTCGCTCAGGGCTCCAGGAGGTTCCCCAGACACCGGGCAGGGCTCCCCGGGCGTCTTAACAGGAGCCACTTCGCACGCAGGTGCGCGTCCGGCGCCCGCGACCCAGCGGCTGGCGCGTGCAGCGAGCGCCGCCTACTGGCCGCTCGGCTCTCGGCTGCTCGGCCCCGCCCCCAGAGGTGGAAGGCGCATGCTCTCTGCCTTCGCCCCGCCCCCTCCTCCAGGCTTCTCGCGACATCCGCCCAGCGGCGGCCCGAGTCTCGCGGTAAAAGCTGGTTGTCTCGCGGGACGCGCCTGGCCCACGGGCTCTCGGGCGGCCCTGGCCGGGGAAGAGGAGTTGCATGTGTCGCTTCAGCTGGCGGTAGCGGCGGGAGCGGAGGCGGCGGGGCCTGTGCGACCGCCCGGGTAACGACCCCTCGCGCCTCCCCGGCGTCCCAGAAGCTCGTAGAGAGCGTGGGCGGAGCCGAGGCGCTGCCCGGAGGCTGGGGGCCGGGCCGGGCCGGGGGCGTCTCCCGCACCCCCGCCCTCGGGGCCCCTCTGCCGACCCCGGAGTCGCCCCGTCGCCCCGGACCGGGCGGCCCTCGTCGCCCTCGTGCCCCTAGTGCGGCCGCCGTGCTCTCCCCTCATCCTCGGGCTCGGGCCACCCCGCCCCCTGCCATGCCCTCGCCTCCGCGCCCCTCCCCGGCCGTTGGCCGCCCCCCGCCCTGCGTTCGGGGCCCCCCGGGGGCCTCTGGGTGCCTTCCCGCTTCCCCTCCCAGCCCCTCGCCGTCTCCCGGGGCCGCCGTCGCCGGCTCTGGCCGGTGGCCCCCGGTCCTTGCTGTGCACTTGCTCGCGTGCCGGCCGGGCGGATGCGGGGCGCCCGACGCTGCCAGCTCACGGAGCTCGGGGTGGGCGCTGCTGCTCCGTTGGGGTCTTGGGCGGAAAGGTGAAGGTGTGTCCCTGTCTCCGCCCGCAGGATTGTGAAATGGCTTCTGACGTTTCCGAATGCAGCGGTGCTGACTGCAAGGGGGACCCTCGGAACAGTGCCAAGTTAGATGCGGGCTACCCACTCCGCGTGCTCTACTGTGGAGGCAAGTGTGGGGCTGGCGTTTGCCTTTTTTTTTTTTTTCCAAACGCGTTGTAATAGTTAAACATTGGACCCTACTGAGCTTTTTCTGCGTCTCTCTGATTTTTGTTTTTTCATTGTCTTCTTACTTGAAAGGCAGAGAGAGGTTTTCCGTGCGCTGGTTCACTCCCCAGATCCAGGTTTCTCATGTGGGCGGCAGGGACCCAAGAGCTTGCGGCATCACCCGCCGCCTCCCATGGCCTTAGCAGAAGCTGAATCGGAAGTGGAGGCGCCGGGACTAGAACCTGGAGCTCCAGGATGGGGTGTGGGCGGCCCACCTTCCCCCTCCGCTTGCGGTCTTTTCCTGTTACTTGGTGAACCCCTGCAGAGGAGGAGGCGTGGGTTAGCGGATTTTCCCAGCCGGTGTGACCTGGGTCTTGTTCCAGGCCTGCAGGGGGATCCAGACGCGTGGGTCATTCCCTCATTCCGACTTTGGGCTCTCGTCTCGCTGTTGACGGGGCTCCGTGGAAGAGGAGATGGGGAGAGTGCCCCAGTGGAAGGGACGGTGGAGAGGCGTGCGGCCCATCGGGAGAGACGGGCAGCTTTGAGTTAGCACGGTGTGGTGTGTGCGTCGTCAGTTAAGGAGTGCGAGGTGAGGGCAGTCTTGGGAAGTCTTCCCGGCCTGGGTAACGCACGGCTGAGAGTCAGTGTTTTCCCTCCGAGGACCTCCTCGTCTTTGTCGTCGTTGTTTTAGATTTGCTGATTTATTTATTCGAAAGGAAGAGCAACAGAGAGATCGTCCCCCTGCTGGGTTACCCTGCAGATGTCCACAATGCCAGGTCTAGGCCAGACCACCAGAGCCAGGAACTCCAGCCGGGTCTCCCACTCGTGTGGCGGGGGTCAAGTGCTTGAACTTCCACTATCTTCTGAGGCACATTAGCAGGAAGCTGGACCAGAAGTGGAGCAGCCGGGACTTGAGCGGGCGTGCTGAGATGGGTTGCCAGTGTTGAGAGCAGTGGTCAATCTGCTGTGCCACAATGCCCATCCCTCCTCTTTTTTTTTTTTTTTAAGGATTGATTTATTTGAAAGGCAGAGTTACAGGGGTGTGGGTGGGGGGAGAGAGAGAGAAATCTTACATATGCTCGTTCACTCCCCAAGTGGCTGCAATGGCTGGTCCTGGTCCAGGCCAAAGCCAGGAGCCTGGAACTCTCTCCAGGTCCCCCACATGTGTGGCAAGGGCTCAGACACTCGGGCACTCGGCCATCTTCCACTGCTTTCCCAGGCACAATAGCAGTGAGCTGGATCGGAAGCTGAGCAGCCAGGACTTGCACTGTCACTCGTGGAATGCCGTTGTCACAGGTGGCAGCTTATCCTGTTGTGACACGGTGCCAGCCTCAAAGTTCCTATTTTTTTGCACCAAATAAACTTATTTTTAAATTCTGTCCTTTTGTGAACTTTTTGTTTTCAAGATGATTGATTGATTTGAAAGGCAGAATGACGGAGATTGTCCATTGGTTGGTTTATTCCCCAAATGGCTGCAACAGCCAGGGCTGGGCCAGGCAGAACCAGGAACCAGGAACTCCCCCGGGGACACCTACCGCTGCCTGTCAGGCGCTTTAGTAGAAACCTGGACTGGAAGCAAAGCAGCTGGCACTCAGACCAGCGTTCAGAAATGGGATGCTGCGTTGCCGGCCGCGGCCCACCCTGCCGCACCACGGTGCCGGCCCCTTCGTGAACTTTCTGAAGTTGTGTAAGCGAGGATTCAGGAAAGGGAGGGATCTTTGTTAGAAGGTAGTAGAACGTTTTCAAGGAAGTGGAGCTTGACTTAATCTGCAGACCAGGGTGGGACGATGGGGTCGTTTGTGGGGAGACTTCCGACAGTGAGGAATATGTGAGTTTAAACCCTGGCCTGGTGGTGGCCAGTCTCATCCATGAAGTGGGGAGAGCAGTGGGGCCTGCCTCAGCTGGGAGGTGCATTAGAGTGCCTTGGGCAGAAAATAACAATGATGAGGGAAGACTAGTGCGTTGCATTTTGGAGGAGGGAGAACCCACAAACTGAAAGGCCAGTGTAGAAATGTAGGTTTGAGGTAAGTGAGTGCTTTGGTTAGCGTGGGAGCCGTGCAAGAGGAAATGAAGGGGTTAATCACAGAAAAGACAGAAGGGAGAAAGGTTCAGTGGATTCAGTTCATGTTTTAGAAAAATGCATATTTATTTATTTGAAAGAGTTGCAGAGAGGCAGAGAGAGGTCTTCCATCTGCTGGTTCACCCCTCAAATGGCCCCAGTGGGCAGAGCTGGGCCTGTCCGAAGCCAGGAGCCAGGAGCTTCTTCTGGGTCTCCCACGCGGGCACAGGGGCCCAAGGAGTCGGGCCATCTTCTCCTGCTTTCCCAGGCCATAGCAGAGAGCTGGATAGGAAGTAGAGCAGCCAGGTCTTGAACTGGCGCCCATATTGGATGCTGGCACTGCAGGTGGTGGCTTTACTCGCTACGCCGCAGCGCCAGCCCCTGGATTCCATATTTGTAAAGTGGAAGGATTGAAAGCAGGAGATCACCCCTACAGGTGAGGACTCTGGGAGGATTGGATTTGGAGATGGACGGTGGGCTCATTTTCCAGTTACGTGGATTTGCGTCTCTGCAGATGGAAGAATACACACACGTTATAGACGGGGAGTAAGTATCTGGGTTCTTAGCCGCAGAGGTGGTCGTTTGAGAATACGTGAGCGTTTCTCAGTCAAGGAGAGAGAAGGGTGGAAAGAGCCCTGGGTGTGCTTGGAGTGGGGTGAGCTGGGTGGAGTCTGTGGCTGGGTGGAGGGGTTGCTTAGTTGACGAGAGGTTAGGAAGCTTGGTGGGAATGTCTGCCTCTGGTAATCCCCCCACCCCAGTAATTATGGGGTAAAACTAAGGGTGCAGGAAAAACTGGTCCAAGATGCCAGAATACAGATTCTATTAGGTATCTGTATGATGGCTACTATGGGAGAACGTTCTCTTTAAAGATTCGTTGTATTTACTTGAAAGAGTGGTGGAGAGAGTGACAGAGGCACTGGGCTGCGCTCCACTGCTTTCCCAGGGGCATCAGGCAGCTCAGCTGGAAGCCGGCAGCGGGACTCTGGCTTGAGGTGACCGCCACAGCACGGCCCAGGAAACAGCATTTTCCACTTGACAGCCACTGTGAGTAAAGGGTGAGACCTTCCTGTGTCAGTGCACGAGGACTGGGAAGTGGAGGTGGTTGAGGGGTCACGTCTGTCTAGGGAACACCGTCCAGTACAACGCAGGCTTCCACTTGGTGTTAGGTTTACTTGAACAGCCAGTAATGGAGATGGGTTTAGATTTGCCTTTTATTTTCCCTCTGACATTACCATTCTCTAAAAATGGTGGCCTTCGTTAACTAGCTTGCTAAGAAAACATGATGGCCTTGTTACTGGGATCCACATCACAGTGAATCAGCAGTTTGCAGCGTCAGGTTTTCTGAGTCCCTTTGATGCAGGCGGTCCTGGGCTAAGTTGTGTGGTCAAATACACAGCGGTGAGACTGTCCTGCGCTTCCTGTCAGTGCAGCTCACACGGGGTAGGTACCGGCGAGGGCTGGAAGGAAGAGGCAGGTAAGGGGCTGGTGTTGTGGCGTAGCGGGTAAAGCTGCCACCTGTGAAGCCGGCACCCCATGTGGGTGCCGGTTCAAGTCCTGGCTGCTCCTCTTCTGATCCAGTTCCCCGCTAATGGCCTGAGAAGGCAGCAGAAGATGGCCCAAGTGCTTGGGCTCCTGCACCCACGTGGGAAACTCAGGAAAGGCTCCTGGCTCCTGGTTTTGGTCTGGCCCAATCCTGGTAATTTTGGCCATTTGGGGAGTAAACCAATGAATGGAAGATTCCTCTCCCTCCACCCTCAGAACTCTGCCTTTCATATAAATAAAGTAAGTCTTTAAGAAAAAAAGGTGCAGGCGAGATTGACAGCAGGGAGATGGGCAGTAAAGGCCTGGGGTGATTGGCTTCCGTGCCAGCACTGACAGGTAGTGGTTTCTGCCCGCTGTAGGGAGTCCGGAACTGCGTCACAGGTGCGTCAAAGGGCAGTAGCATTCAGGCAGGCATTGAAGGGCACAAGGACTCATGCTCAGACGAAGTAATCAGGAACATGGGTGCAGCTGGGTTGCAATGAGGGCATCCTGAAGTAGAGGAGCAGGAACTGTACGGCCGTGTGGTTTGGGACCAGGTTAGCGGGATTTCGTTTGTCGGTGGTGCTAAGTCACTGGAGGTGTTAACAGAGAAGTGAGGTGGGATGAACCTGGAGCAGAGGAAAAGTTGAGGAAGGCAGGCTTACTGGCCAGGCCATAGGAAGACTTCAGGCAACATTAATGAAGCTTTAAGTGAGTGCTGTAATTAGGAAGCGTAGGTTGAGAAAGAGAGTCTTGTGGATAAACAGGACGAAGGATAAACAGGATAAAGCAGTGAATTAGACTTGAAGACTAGGGAGAAGGGAAAAATACATTTTATGAAAACTGTTGAAAGCAGTTTGTGAAAGCATTTAGTATTCTTGGAGTGCTTCAAGAAGAGGGAAACCCTCAAACAGAAAACCTAACTGATGAAAGAGAGAAATAGAAGAGAAAATGACATATTCCTTGTCAATTCTACCTCCTCCTCTCCTTTCCCTCTTTAAAAAAAAAAGATGCAAATTAAGACCGGCTCCGCTCCCAGCGAGAGGCTGAGTCGCATTGAGAGCAGCTTGGGTTCATTCGGAAAACGTCTCCTAAGCATGTGCACTCTGCCAGGCACCGGGCTCGCTCTATGGGAGTGTGAGGCCTGATTGTCACAGCCTCACCCCGAGGTCAGACAGGCTAGCGTGTGAGCTGCAGTGTTCCACGTGTGCACTGCTGAGCTGACCTGACTACTGTGGGGTACAGAACCAGCTGGCTCTACCTGGGAGAACGGGAAAAAGGGACACTTTCTGAGTGGATTTTATGTTTTTGTATGTTATTTAAGTTTTATAGCATATAATACTCTTCTGCTTTTATTAAAGATAGGTTTCTGAATCATATGA